CACTACCTGCTGTGCCCCTGCAGGGCCCCAGCACTGAAACTCCTGCTCTGTGAGTAGTTTTGCATGAGTGAGTTTGCCCCAGCATCCCTACATCTCTGCAGTGTTTTCCACCTTCTGCTTCATTTAACCAACCTGTAAATGGTGTGTGGTTTTGCTCTCCTTCATTTCACCTGGGGTATTTCACAGCGCCTTTCTTGTTAACTCTCCTGGGCTTCTTGGAGCCCATGTTTAATGCACTTCTTTGCCCATCACTGTAATATTGTACAAAGAATGCCTGCCACGGCAACAGGCTCCTTCACATCCTTGGTATGTGAGCAGGGTATGTTGTTGTTGTCATCCCCTTTCTGTGTCCTCTGTCAAGTCCTTGTGTTTCCTGTCCGCTTCTTCTTTCTCTTTACCTTCTTCTGTCTTAAGTCTCTGCACAGTGTCTGAGAGTTCTCAAAACCTAGTGGTCATCAAGGGAACTTCCTGTGGCTGGACAGCAGTGACAGGGTGGTGGTGGACCTTGTGGAGCTGTGAACCCCTTGGGTGGAACAGAGGCCAGGGTACCCTCCAGCTTTCTAGCGCGGAGCACACACCTCTGGTGCAGGAGGGAAACAGATGACCGGAGCATTGCGTCTCTTAAAGAAAGTGGCCAAGAGGAGACTGCATCACAGTAAGTGACTTCTGAAGTACTGCATTTTAAAATCTGCAGTGTGCACCAGGCATGGTGGTGCACGCCTGTAGTCCCAGCACTCGGAGGCAGAGGATCACTGCTTGTTCCATGGGAACCTGGGCTACATAGTGAGTTCAGGCCACCCTAAAGTGAATAGGAGGACCCTGACTCAAAAATTAAAAATGTGAAGTGTGAGTTTTCCATGAAAGCCTTCCTGTGTGTTCTCCACAAGAACTCTGGTAAAGCAGCGTATCATCTCATGTTCCCATTCAGAAAATGAGGCAAAAGCTCACAGTTTAGCCCCTTTGGGAGTGAAGTGAAGCTGAGCTTCACTGAATATGTACCATGTGGTCCCCTAAAGCCTCCTGTGCTTTGGAAGGTGGCTGGATGGGCGCTCTGCTGTTAGGAGATGAGCTAGCTGGAGCGAGCTTTTGTGTCATTTCCCTCCAGCACTGGAGGTGTGTGCTCCACACTGGAAAGCAGGAGGATTCCCTGGCCTCTGCTCCACCCAAGGGTTTTACAGCTTCCCTTTTCACTGTTGCTACCTCCTTTCCTTGGAATTAGCCTCTTGCTCTTGTGGGCCCCTGAGCTCAGCAGAGTGAGCTGTGCTCCCCAGAGCCCGGCCCCACACCTGCATCTTCAGCCAGCCAAGGGGCTGATGCCCTGCACGCTTGCTGTCTGCCCCAGAGCATCAAGGACAGATCAGGTTTTGTTTCCTTCTCCTTGAGGTGCAATGCCCCCATCCTCTGTCTCTGTGTCTCTCTCTCCACCTTTCTGTGTCTGTGTCTGTGTCTCTCTCCTCTTTTCCTTGTAGTACTAACAAATGAACCTAGGCCTTCATAGTGAGCTACATCCCCAGACTTTTAAACATTTTTTTTTAATTGGGGGACAGGGTCCCATTAATTTGCTAAGTTGACCTGGTTGTGATTGTCCTGCTTTGGTCTCCCAGAATGCTGTGCTCACATGGGTGTGCCACCATGCCTGGAAACTCTTTTTCCTTCTGTATGATCACAGACAGAATCATGACCATGCATTACTAGGCCACGACAAGGACTCACGGAATACATGGTCACCTTCCTAATGCCTTGCTTCTATGTTCCTCCCCTCCAAGCTTCACAAGTGAAAACTCAGACTTCAGGCTGAAAGGTTGCACGAAGATTTAGATCATTTCTAGAGTGACCCCAGACCTCTGCGTTTGTTTATGAGAATGAATGGAAGCAAATTATTTTTGGAGTATATTCTAAGTTTATCCAAGGAGCAAGAAACTATACATTTGTGCAGACTCTATTATTTTCTTTTGAAGGAGATCATATATTGTGGCTTATTCACTAGTAAATACAGTTTTCTCTGGTTTTCAAAATAATACATAAAAAGTAATATCTACCAAGAGGCCAGTGGAAATTTTTGTTTGGGAATGAAAAGAAAATAAATTATTGGATAAAAAAAAAAACTCCATACTCTTCAAATTAGATTTTGGGTAGCAAAAATGAAGTTATTATATATAATATCAATGTTGTTTTATATGAAGAAGTGAACAAAACTATTCTGTGTGTGGCCTCAATAGAGTGTGTAAGGATGTGATCACTGTGATGAGAGTTTTATTATTGTCTGATTTATGGGTTTGCCATTTTCTACTCACTATTTTGCATTTTCTTGCTCCTCCATCTATCTTTGCTGTAAAAAATAACTTTGACCAAGGACTGCTATAATTTTCAATTTTATCACAGTGTATTAGGGAATTTGCCACATGGATAATTTAGGTAATATTATATAATTTATTTTCAACTCTCAGTCAGTTTTATATGCATTCCATTAGTTTTACATCTAAAATATTGGAAATTTTTTTGTTTTTGTTTATAGAGTTTCTAATAATGGACTCTCCAAAGTTCAAAAAGCTTGAAAAATAACTTGCTGTGAGGAGACAGTGAAGCTAACAGCAGCCTGTGGGAAGTGTGTCACACTGCAGAGGTGAGGGTGTGCTGTCTAATTTGTTCACTGAGTGAAAAAGTGAAGGCACTGACTCACCCTGGGGCTTTTGTGGTTCTAGCAAAGAAAGTCTTGAACCTTAGGGACCCTCTCCCTCCATGTAATCAGTAAATAAGTTATCAGAGCATAAGGATGTGAGTCAACTCTCCATCCATAACCACCTGTAAAAGGGTCTGTGTCTGCACCTGTCCTCAGATGTGACCCAGCTGTACACTGTGTCAGACTTGGAGAAAAAGCAGAAAGTGGCCTTTCATGCCCGCACGCATAGACCTATCTGATCTGTGCTGTGTCAGATGCGGAGAGAGTTTAACAATGAGGGATTGAAAACATTGCTCTGTGTTTAATGAGCCTTCATTTGGCCTGGTGTTGCTTTGTGCAGATTTTATCCTTGTTGACACTGAGGCTGTGTTAGATACAGAGCTGATTTCATAGCAGTTGCTGGAATGTCTATTTCAGGACTCTCTCCTTACACTAATCTCATCTTTTCATGCCTTAGCTCCAGTATCCACTGTAATAACATGCTTCATACACATTCGCATATATTTTTGAGAACTTATAATATTAAAGAGGTTTGTGGCACATGGATTTTAATTTACCCAGAGCAAGTTTTGTCCTGCTCTGAAGCAGGCTAATTTATTTTCTATTTCATGTTGCTATGAGATGCGCTGTCAATGCGGCCGCTGTGCTTTAACATTCGCTTGAACATTCTTTCTACTCCAGATAACAAAGCACTGAAGATTCTTGGGTCTTCCTGAGAATTTGCCTGCATTTCTTGCCTAAGGGTTGAGGTGCTGTGTGTGTCCACTGTACAGATTGCATACCAAGAGGAAGGGACCTGTCTGTTCTCTCCCTCCTGTGGAATCAGCCTTCTGTCTCCACTTGGTTTTTCCCACCTTTCCAACTGAGCATTTGTACTTGATGCTCTATTTTAAATGCAAATCCCATTGTTACAGGCAGCTAAGTTAGATAAACATTAATATATAGGCACAGAGGACAGGGCTCCCAAGGAAGTCGGCAGGAAATAAAGACCTCAGAATGAGGCCCGGTCATGAGATAGAGATGCAATGGCTGGGCCACGGGGGGCCCCTCCAGCTCCCAGTAACCCTTTCCCAGCTCACCCTCTGCTGGCCTTGGAATTCACTCTGCCATTGCAGTGGACCTGCCCTCCGCACATCTGACCTCTGGCAACTGGGAGTTACCCTTCTCCTGTGTCCACAGTAACAAACACTGTGGCTGGAGTTTAGTTTTTGCCACTTATTATACACAATTTAGTTGCACCTGTATGTTTTATTTTATGACCAAAGTCGACTGAATCACAGGATGCTGGAGATGCATGTGAGGCCAGTGTGTCCCAGGCCGCCTGCTTTCTTACTGTCCAGGTGATATTAATTTACTCTCGGCTTGAATTTCTGTGGGTCATCTTAGAGCACCAAACAGTTAAGACAGTGTCTTTGTCACAGCTGGGACCCAGCGCCCACGATTTAAAGGAGGAGAGGTTTATTTTAGCTCCCGTGTTTAGAGGATCCCGCGCTCTATGGCAGAAAGGGAGAGCAGGGGTCTGGGTGGAGGAGACCTGCTCACTTCGCTGGGACAGGAAGGGAGACAGGAGGAGGGTGATGATCAGCTCCTCCTTGTGGACTCTGCAGGTACTCAGTCACACAGAAGCCACTGTTGAGCCCCGCATCCCGGTGATCTATCGCCCCCAAGAGCTTTTGGAGACCCTCGGGTCTGAACTGCAGCAATCACTGCCTGGAGAAATCACTCCAGCTTCCTTGCAGGTATGCAGCTGGGATTTTGAACAGCAACCCAGCAGACCTCATCCAGGGGGAGACTTCTTTCCCAAGATCCCATGACTGGAGCTTCTGAAGCCTTTAGGACTCAGTCTGTAATGGATGTCTGCCCTGATCCTGCTGTGGTGGCCAAGCTGGTGGTGCCCACTGACATGGTTCCCCTGCTCACTGGCCTTGTCCCAGCCCCACAGTGTCTCCCACTGCTGGACTAGAGCCCCAGCTCTCACCTGCGTCTCTATGAGGCCTTTAAGCCCTGCCCTCTGCCTCAGCCCTTGCTCCCTGGCTGGGCATGCAGAGAAACCTTGGTTGTGTTTCGCTATGTAGCACCCATCTGATGCCGGTTCCTGCCCTTCGGGAGCACAGGAGCCACTACAGCACTGTTTGCAGACTGTATGAGTGAACGACGGTTCACTTGGCCGCGCAAACTTGCTTAGCATCTACCAAGTGGTGCCTGAGCCCTGGGGCCTGGCAGGACTGGGCCAGGGTGCCAGCACCTCCCTGGGGACCCACAGGGCCACTGTGGCTGGTGCACAGTAGGCTGCACCTACTGTGGACAGAAGGATTCTTACCTCTCTGGAGCAGGGAAGCTTCTGCTAACGTGTGTCTCTCTGGAACCGAGCACCTCCAAAATGTCTGGGCGTTTCTGGATTTGAGGTCTCTAAAAAGACATGCATATTTCAAAAGCAGAAATTTTCTGTTCCTAATTTTACCACAAGAGGATTTCTGAGGAGAATCTAAATTTATCTTCCTTTTTCTTTAAAAAACATGCTAACCATAATGTCTGAAAAGTATGATGAAAACCAAAAACTATTTCAGCATTTTGGGTGTTGGGGGGAATGCAATGGGGAAGGATGATTTATAATTTTTGGGGACATACATTCTTTTTTTTTTTTTCTGGTGTACTCATCACCGGCAGGTGGACATGAAGATTTTGATGGCATTTCTTCTGACTCTTGTGAAGCATTTAGTGTACAATTTTATTTTAGTGAAGTTAAATTTCAGTGGGACCAGTTTGCTCCCTGGTACTGTTTTTAATGTGCTTTTCTCCCCATGTCATTCATATGCTGATTCTCTTCAGGTTTCTGTGTATCCTAGGGCTTCAGAAAGCATCTTACAGATATTCCTCCTCATCAAAACACAGGCAAATGGGAAAATCTGCTTCATTTTCTAGTCATTTTCTGACTGGCAGCCCACAGCTGCAGTTTGGGGAATCTAGCATGGTTATATTAAAGTGCTTTGTTAATTCTTTCATTTGACTTGTATATAAAGCATATCGGCTATGTTTGATTTAAAGAAAGGGAAAATGTTTAACAATGAAACATTAAATAAAACTCCCCCAGGTTATGGTTGGAGAAAAACAATAGATTCATCATGAACTACTATTAAAGTGACAATCGACTTGCTATTTTTATTGTTCATTGCATTTTTTATGAAACACTGTGATATCTTGGATGCTACATGTTTTACAATAGATTTCTCTCTCTTGTAAACACTCACCTTAGTCAACTTATTGTTCTATATAAATAAAAGGGGATGAGCACTTTGTTGGTCAGCATTCTATTACTGTGACAAAATATCTGAGAAAATCAGCTAAAGGAGGAAAGGAAAGGTTCACGCGGCTCATGGTTGCAGAGGCTTCAGTCCAGGTCAGCTGGCTGCAAGACAGAGATGGCATCATGAAAGGATGGCAGAGAGGTTTCCCACAGTGACAGCCAGGAATTGGGGAAAAAGGACAGGGCCCACAGTGAGATGGTGAGGGACAGGAAACCTGTGTCTCTTCCCAGCCCTGCCCTGTGACATAGTTCTTCACCCCACCCCTACTCTCATGGTTTCTACCACCCAGCACCAAAGGGCACACAGGATGCAAAAAGGAATGTATTATTCTTTTCCTTTGGTGAGGCTGTTGTGGAGCTGGTTTCTGGCACTGTGCATGGTCCATGCAGAAATTAGTGATGTCTGTGAGAGCATTCAAGTCAGACCCAGCCTGTCGTGGCTCGGAAGAGGAGACTGATGGGACTCCCACAGCGGGTGCTGCCCAGCTGCCCAGTGCCTGGAAGGCCGCATCCTAGCACATCTGTGCCCACATGCAGCTCGCTCACATGCTGGGGTGCCCAGTGCATCTCCATCAAAGTGGACTTCCTGCCTCTTCACTTTCCTATTTTCTCTTTCCCTCTTTCCCATCCTGCATGATTTGCATGACAGTGTTCTTTTTCTGAATATAACAATTATTCTAAAATGTTTGAATAGCAAGATTAAATTGCCCCTAATTAATTCCAGTATTCCACAGTAATTATGGTTAAATTGTATGTGTGTGGGGGGAAGGGGGCTGCAATTTTATGTCATAGGAAGGTTTTTGTATTTCTTTGTAGAGCCAAAGTTCTTTACACTTTTTCCTATGCAGTTAAAATGATACTTAATTGTTATGTTTCATTAAAGGAGTATTCCGTAGCTAGTTTTGTGGTTCATGTTTTAGGTGATGCTCCTATTTTCCTGGTATTGGAGGTACTTGTTGATGTGCATCTTTCAATGTGATTAGCATATGTTCCTGGAAGGTCTGTTTTAGTCATGCTAGTCGCTGTGACAGGAAACTCCACAGCCTGAGTGTTTAGCTGGGTGAACACATTGCTTATGTGAACATCAGTCAGGGCTGGGTGGAGAGAGTCATCTCCTTCAGATTCCCAGCTGCACAGGTAAGAGAAGCTGAGGGGGCGGGAACTCTGCCCTGTCCATGGAGCTGGTCCAGGGAGTCCCAGGCTGAGGGAGGTAGGGCAGTTGTGTGCCCAGTAGTCTCAAGGCCCAGCTTCTAATCCTATTTAAATTTCTTGCTAATTCTTCTAAGAAATATTCAGCCAATTAACACTCAAACCAACTGTGGACAGAAGACTTGTTTTTCCTGGACAATGGTGGTCATAGCATAGTTCTCTGATCTGTGAAAAAGTAAGGCTGTCATTATCACTATACAAATAAACTTCTTGATCATTGCTGAGGTTCAACAGTTCTTCCATGAGCCTGGGCTGTTATTCTACCCTTGAATTAGGAATTCAAATATGGTTTTCTTTTAACCTATGTAGATTTTCTTAGTAACTTAAAAAAGTTCTTTAATTAAGTTAGTAGGTGGGAGCTCTTTAATGTTAGTTTTTAAAATCACTTTGTGCTTGCTTTTTAAATGCATTCAGGATATATTTTTCAAGAGAAAGCTTTCAGTATATGTGACCATTGGGTCCACTATCTTGGATCCCCTTTCTACATGCCTGGCTTTCCGGGTGCATTTTTCTGTTTTTCTCCCTTTCCCCCCATCCTTGGTCACTCCTGGCTTCTTCCACTCTGATCCTGAGGCTGCTGCTGCCTCTGCGATCAGTCTGCATGCTGCGGGGTGTCAGAGCTAAGCTCCTCTAGGTTCTCTCAGAATCAATGGCTTTATTGATCACCTACAGAGAAGTCTTGTCCACACTCCTCCTCAGGGCCCTTACTAAACTCCTTCCTGTGTGCCTGCTCCTGAGTGACTCACAGGCTGGGCTGCATCTCCTCCTAAGGCCCAGTGGGTGAAGGAAGTCAGATGGCTTCCCTAGGTCCTGTTGTGAGCAGAGGGAACAGGTCTGTAGGGCTGGCATCTGGGTCCAGCTCCTGGGAGATGATTTTGGTGAGGATTTCCCAGGGCCACTTTACCTTCAAAGCTCAGGTTTCTGTCTCAACACAGTGACACCGAGGACTCTCTTGATGCCGGGAGTGAGTGTCCATTCAAACCCAGAGATACCTGGTCTTTCCATGGCCATTTCTTCCCATCTGTCCTTGATACAATGGGAGAGAATCAGCATGTACTCAAACAGAAGACTCAGAATTCCCATCAAGCAAAATGTTCTACTTGTGCAACTGACTTTCTTCTTTTCCTTTCCAGGTGAGTCAGGAATTCTTGGCACTGATTAGAATGTTGGAAATGATGGGACACCTCCTAGTCTTGGTGTGCTATAGCCCCTTGTCAGCCAGCTGTTTTATTCCGTGGGTTCCCTGGGATGGAAAGGGACATGTATTTCCTTCTGTTGATGCACTTTCCCTATTTGTTCAACTCTTTTCCATCAAAAAGCTGCAGTAGCTATAGGAATCTCTTCAATATATTCTTTTATTCACAGAATACTGGATTTTGGACAAGTAAGACAATAAAGCCAAATATGGCAAATACTCATACCATGTGGCGAGGGAATTTACATTTCAGAAAGAGGCTGATTCTAGCCCTTCTGTGTTCCTCAGTTTTATGCTTTAGAGTACCATGCACATGGTCAATCATAAGAATGATTATCTTCCTACCTGTCAGATAGACACGCTCCTTACAATTCTATTATGTGTGCACTTTTTGCAGGGGGCAGGATATTCAAGGTTGATCTTCTTTTATAAATATTACTGTGGGAAAAAAAAAGCATAACCTTGAGTCAACCAACAGCTCCTTGAGGTGATTTAGTATGCACTACTGGAGGGTTTCTGAAACACAAACATCTGTAATAACTGAATAATCATTTCCTGTTTCCCTGTGGGGCACTAGCTCTAACAGAACCATGAGAAGTCACTTAGAGTCACTTGTGACTGTACAGTAATAGCATAGTTTTGGTAACTGGCTGTGGTATTTTCTCATTACTTTGGAGCCAGATCCAATAATTTTCTTGCCTATTGACAAAGCCATTTGTACCCAGTCACAAAGAAAAATTCTATACTAAGAAGACTTCAGAGCCTCTACCTCTTTTATAAATGCTCTTTATATTAAAAGATCAGTATTGGAAGGTAGATTCAATCCAAATAAGAGAAACAACCGCATCTAGCACTCAGCATAATAGTAGGCTCTCTGCACACATTTTCCACTTGTTTCACATTTTGTAGTAAGTTCTGTAAAGATAAAAATAAATAATGTCTCGAAAAGATACAAGATTTAACTCCTGTGTACAATGATTTGGGAAGCATAAAACAAAAATTTGAAAAAAATTTCAAATAATATGTATGATAATTTCAGATAAAGAAGTACAAATAAATATATTCCTTTTCTTGAATATCCTGTTCTTTTTTTTTTTTTTTTTTCTTTTGGCTTTTTCATTTTTATCAGTACCATGGATTGAACTCATGACTGCCTGCTTGCAAGGCAGGCACTTAAGCCTGTTACCTACCCCCAGCCTTCCTGTTCTTTTTAAAGGTAGAAATTCCCCGATTAGCCATCATTTCTGCCACAAAAAACAACATGAAACTCAGTTTACTAGCCATTAAATTACAGTGCATTACCTTTCACCAGAGGAACTTAATCCTCTGTTTTAGACTATGCAGGGTTACTCATGAAGTACTATATGTGTGTGTGTGTGTGTGTGTGTGTGTAGATATCTATCTATATCTATAATTTTTGTTATGTGGGAGGTGGCAGAGTTTTAAAACATTAAGTCCAATATTTTAAGTGGTTTCCATTTTAAAAGAAGAAAAATTGACCATGTTAATTTTTTACATTAAGAATCTTTGCCTATATAAGTAACTTTGAATTCATCTTTTTAGAAACTTTTATATAAGTAACTTTGAATTTATCTTTTTAGAAACCTTTTTTGCACTACTGGATTTGTTTTTCAGATTTATTCTGTAGGAGACATTGACTGGACTAGCACGAGTTCATGGTGGTAGGAACAGGATGG